GGCATGGAGGATGCTGAACCGGTTTTGGCTAATGCCAAAGGGGCTTGAGAGGGTCCTAAGAGACCAAGGCCTTCAAGGAAACCCCTACAAGCTTTTGGTTGGGGATTTAAAGGACATTCTGAAGATGCAAAATGAGGCCAAATCCAAACCCATGAGTCTCTCACATGATATAGTGCCACGTGTGCTTTCCCATGTCCATCAGAGTGTCAAAAAACATGGTATGATTTTGTTTCTTACTCTTTTAGTTTGTTGCCTCTTTATTGTGATCCATTTTATTTTAGTAGGGACCATATGTATATTTTCTGTTAGAGTTGGCACAATTATTATGACATGTATCTCTCTATTTTTCCCTTCATAAGCTAGATCCAATTTGATTTATGAGCCACTTTTTATTATTGAAGTGTAAATGATATATATTTGGTTTGCCATGGTAGTCAACTTTAAAAGAATACATAGGAAGTTGCTGTATTTTCTTGTCCTATTCTTATTTATCTTTAAATTTAAGCCTTGATGGTACATTTTTTATGGTATGTAGGCAAGAATACTTTTATTTGGTTTGGACCAAAACCAAGGGTGACCCTCACAGATCCTGAGCTAATCAAAGAAGTACTTAACAAGATGTATGATTTCCAAAAGCCTAAAACGACTCCGCTTGCCAAGTTACTTGCTACTGGTCTTGTAAACTATGAAGGAGAAAAGTGGAACAAGCACAGAAGAATAATTAACCCTGCATTCAATTTGGAAAAATTGAAGGTTAGTTTCCCATTATTTGATGTATATATCTTTTATATCAACTAGTGTGCCTTTGAATACCTTCATGTTATAAAAACATTCTGAGATTGGATTTTGAGTATGTTTTGCAGCATAAATGCATTCCCTTGAGAAATTTATTTGGTACAGTAAAATTACGTGAGTTGGTTTAGCCAGCAACATATACTTTTGCAAGTAATATCAATTTGGTTTATAAAACATGATGTGAAGTTTGAATATTTATGTGCTTAGTTTGATAGGGAATTTAAGGTCCTTTTTATTTCACTATTATACCACAGAATATGTTACCAATATTCTTCAAAAGTTGCAATGATCTAATTATCAAGTGGGAGGAAATGTTGTCTTCTGAGGGATCATGTGAAATGGATGTTTGGCCTTTCCTTCAAAATTTGGCTAGTGATGTTATTGCTCGAGCAGCATTTGGAAGTAGTTATGAAGAAGGGAGAAGAATATTTCAACTTCAGAAAGAGCTAGCAGAACTTACAGTTAAAGTTATAATGAATGTTTACATCCCTGGATGGAGGTAAGACTAATATGTATATTTGAGTGTTTAATAGACAAAAGTATCAACCTTTTTAAACGAGTTTTATTTAAGTGAACTAAGCTTACCATATATTATAAAGTAAACAGTGATTACCAAATAGTATTTATCATTACGAATCAAATATACTTGTTTTATACAACAACTAATCTGCCAAATATTGTGATGGGAATATGTAGTAGCTATCAGTTGCAACCTAAGTGACAAAAAGCTTCATTTGAAATAATACTATTAGCGAGCAACAATTCTAATCAAGAATTTGTGTTATATTCAATGCCTATTCATTTATCAGTTGTTGTGATAGGAAGATTACATGTAATATCTCAATCGCAATTTGCAATAGAAAAATTTTAACGGTTCGAAAACCAAACTGGGCTTTATGTTGACAAAATCAAAGGGTAGAAGGCTAGATGATTTTTGAAAGAGTGGTTCTGATTTTTCTTACTTGCAGATTTCTACCTACTCCTACCAATAGAAGAATGAAGGAAATTAATAGAGAAATAAAAGCTTCTCTTACAGATATGATTAAGAAGAGAGAGAAAGCTCTAAAGATAGGTGCAGCTACTAAGGATGATTTGTTAGGTATACTCTTGGAGTCAAATCACAAGGAAATCCAAGAAAAAGGAAACAACAAGAATGTTGGAATGAATCTTGATGATGTAATCGAGGAATGCAAGTTATTCTACTTTGCAGGGCAGGAGACCACTTCAACTTTACTTGTTTGGACAATGGTGTTGTTAAGTAAGTACCCTGATTGGCAAGCCCGTGCAAGGGAGGAAGTTTTACAAGTCTTTGGCAAAGAATCACCAAATTTTGATGGGCTAAGTCACCTCAAGATTGTAAGTGTTGTATAGGTCTTGTTTGAATAAGGTTCTCCATAAACACTTATAGAAAAAAAATGATAAAATGCATGGAATTTTTCACAAGCTAAAATCAACTTATGCATCTTAGCTATTGAAGATGTTAAAGGAAAATAATTTCTACCAAAGTCAAATACATAAGTTGATTTTAACTTATGCAAAAAGTTTAATTCATTTTATCTTCTTATTTTCTTATTCTACAAGTACTTATGAAAAAATTTATTCAAATAGAGCATGTTATTATCTTGATATTGAATAAAATGGTTTTGATACTTACTAACAGCGTAATTATTTTATTATTTTGTAACAGGTCACCATGATTTTGTATGAGGTTCTTAGATTATACCCGCCAGCAGTTAGCCTTACTAGAAGTGTTAACAAAGATTTGAAACTTGGAATTCTATCATTACCAGCTGGAGTGCAAGTTTCGTTGCCAACACTTATGATTCATCATGACAATGAACTTTGGGGTGATGATGCCAAAGAGTTCAAACCTGAGAGATTTTCTGAAGGAGTTTCAAAAGCAACAAATGGCAGAGTTTCATTTTTTCCATTTGGATGGGGTCCTAGAATATGCATTGGACAAAACTTCTCTTTGTTGGAGGCAAAGATGGCTATGTCAATGATTTTACAACATTTCTCATTTGAACTTTCTCCAGCTTATGCTCATGCTCCGGTTACAATATTTACTCTTCAGCCCCAATATGGTGCTCACATCATTTTACATAAAGTTCAAATCTAAAAAATAATAATTAGTCTTAGTGGTTGATCTGTATTTTGCATTGCAAAGTATATAATGCAATAATAGTAGAAGATTATTATTCCTTGTGCTGTAACATGCTCTTACTGCAACATTGTGAGACATATGCAATCTTGATTCTCATTTTGTTTGATGAATGACACATCAAACCCTGTGGGTTGCTTTGTATCGGGTTTTTGTTTGTGTAGACAATATGAAGATGCTACATAAGTGTGGTGATGGACTCGGGTCCGCGGACTGGTTTGTAAGCCCGTGGACTTTACGGATAACGGACCCTTTTTTTTTAAATTCATATGATAATATTTAATTTTTGTGTCGTGAAGTTTGCGAACTTGGCGGATTTAATCTGTAAATTTCACTAATCAATATTTTTAGATATTAAGACTTTAATATTAAGTTGTGTATTTAATCTTTTAAATTATTATGATATTAAAACTATGTTTAGTTGGTATGCATTTCTCATTTAAATTATTTTTATGATATTTTGATACTTTTATTATTGAAAGTTTCGTATTATTATATAAGTATTTGCAATTATTTTTATTTTAATATTTTAATATTTAGTATTTTAAATCATTTTAACTGTTGATAAATTCTAGTGTTATATAATTTAGCTTATAAATAAAAAAAATTATAATTTTATGTATTTTTATTTTTTTTAAATTTATTTTTTTGAATCATTATTTAAACATGCGGACTGGTCCGTTATCAGTGGATTTTGGCGGACTGGATACAAACTTAAAAAATAAATCCATTTATTTAACAAATCAAACTTATCCGGTCCATATAAAACACAGATTTTACAGATCGGACCTTAAACGGGTCGAACCGGTCCGTATACCCACCTCTACCTATAAATACATTTGCATATTTTCTTGTATTTGATAATGCACTTGAAAAAATATTTCATAGCAGTGTCACAATTTTGTAGTGATACAAGAAAGCAGATAGGGGCATTATCATGGAAGATGGTGAGAACTGAGAACCTTAGCTAAAGCACTGGCATATATCAGGATCTAAGATTGGAATGAGCACGATAATTTTCTGTGGTCATGCTGATGCATCCATTTCCAATAACATAAATGATTAATTGTATACACGATTTAAATTGAAAAGTTAGCTTTTAGATAACTGATTCAAATAAAAGTATTTGGTACAATATCAAGTTGTTTCCCATTTTCTGTGTCAGAAAGGTTATTTAATTATATAGCATGTGTGCTTTAGTTTACAATATCCATATCCTTCTTGTATGCGACAGTTTGCTCAATTCATTCACAATCTCCATTAGGAGGTATGGTTTTGTCCCATGAAGATGATACCTTTGATTAAAATTTGCACCATGTATTTCATCAATGTTCAAGACTCAAAGAATTGCCATATATTTGAGTTATTTCCTGTTGATCAAATTGAACAAGTCATTAGTTGTCGGTTGTTTTGTAAATAATTTTTAAATTTAATAAATATTAGATGAGAAATTGATTGCTGAGCAGCATAAAATTATTTTAGAGAACGAATTTTTACTTATCTAAATTATGAACTTTGGAATCAACAGACAAGCACCTCAGAAAGAAGATTTGTAGGCAACACTGGGTTTTGATAAGAAAGAAGCATCACATCCTACCCGTTAACTTAATAAAGTAGTTCAAAATTGAGCAAGACGAATTAATTATCATATTACTTTAATATATATATATATATATATATATATATATATATAAGAAAAAAGAAACTGAAGCAAAAACAAGTTATGGAATCTTTAAAATTGTCTCTCTCAAGAACCGTATTGAATTGACATTAGAGGAAGAAATATTGCCACTTACCAGGCCCCATTATTTGGATTCCTTTGTAAAGTCACGATAATTCTCTACAACCTTGTGCTTCTCACATGCATGTAGGTCCAGTACTAATATCCTTCAACTAATATAGTCAAAAAATCAAGCAGACAACTAATCATTTTCTTTGATCTTCTAACTGGTAAGGATTAATCTCCCATTAAGTTTCTTTGTATAGATTTCTTGTTTTAATAAATGTTTATGTGAGATGGATTTCATGTGATCACCAAGGTTAAGTTAGACTTCAAAGATCAAAGAATATTTAGTGCATGATTGGATCTGCATCTAGGATCCACGTTTGTCAATAAAACTACATTCAAAATATCAAATTTATGCAGAAGCTAGTATTTATTGTTTTAAATGGATCCACGTCGTGTTAAGAATGATGTGTAACCAAATAGAGGCTTATGCAGTCCTTACATCAATAGTGAAAATAAAAACTCAAAACTAAGTAAAATGAATCTGCTCCTCCTTATCAACAGAACTAACCTTTGTTGGAAGAGAACTTAAAGATTATAGTTTGTGCCTTTCATTTGTTCAGTAAGGTTGAAATTACAAGCAATTGATTTTAGAAGATTAAATAAGTGATATCAGTTATTGATAAAAGAATAACAAATGATACTTACATAAATGTGTTTAAATATCAACAAATGACTAAAATTATTTATTTTTTTACTCTTAATTTATACTTTAGGGTCAAATATGGATAAATTTACATCGAAAACTCTACAGATACACAGAACGAATCCAACAAGCAAACATAACACAAAACCCAAGATTTTTCAAAGGATGTAAGTCCCCAACATTTATACTTTACAACAACTAACTAACTAGTCATACTTTTCCCTCCACATGTACACAAGAAAGAAGAGCCAGGAAGTGGCCAATGCAATGTCCCCAACAGCGTGTCTAGGCCAGTCATGGGCAAGATCTTCAAGCTTCCTCTCAAAGCAGAATCTCCACACTGCCATGGAAATGTGAAGAAACACACATCCTTTGGCAAAGAAACTCTGGAACTCCCAGTCCTTAACACAAGCAACCATGAACACAAGAAACCCAATTACGAACAACAACAAGCCAGAGAAGGAATCTGAGGTTTGAATCAGTAGCTGATCATGGGGTGTTGACCCTTGAAGTTTGTTTGCTGACACACTAATCTCTTTGGAATAAAACACCATTAGTGCTCCACTAGTCAAAGCTACTGCAGAATGCAGAACACATAACATGAAAAAGCAAGAAGAACCCATTTCTCCAAAACCACTAGAAGCAATCCTGTTTAAGTCGGGTAACACCAGTATGACAAAGTTCTCCTTCCAAGTATTTAAGGCCGTTGCATACCCAAGATTCGAACACAAAATCACTGATTAAACTGGAACAACCTACGCAACATGATTCATGTGCTAGGCGGTGAAATTTCAAGCTTTAGTTACTTTACTTACCAGTAGTGTAATAATAATAAGTTAATAGCAATAGAACCAAACCTGTGGCATGACCAATTCTGATTCTAGTTTGAAGCATGATAATCTTTTGATCATCACCCTTTTGGATTTCAACCACCATAGTTTCAACAAATCAGAAGATGCAATAAATCATGGCTTAGTCTACTCAACTTTTCAAACAAAGTTGCAAAAGGATGCAGTAGTTCACCTTCACCTGGATCATAACTTGTTGACAAATTTCAACAAACCAATTTGGTATATAAAGTGGATTCAGCTTCGGTGTCAGGGATCAGATGACATACACAGGGAGAGGATTAAATTGTGTGATTGAATTTGCATAGTGCTTGATGAAGCAAAGTTGAGTGTTAGGTTAACCACCATAGATGTCTCATAAATTGGTTCCATACTTCATGCAGAAATTGTCATACTTCTCTAGTGGCCTCTATTTTCTTGTTCCACTAAGCAATTGAAAACATGGTGGGTCATGGAAATGGGTCTACATAAGATTAATCAGAAAATCTTGTCGTTATATTTTATATTTTCAAGCTTGTAGGCCCGATTTGTAGTTGATCATCTTAAACTTGGTTGGTCCACTTTATATTATTTTCAAAATATTAACTAAAGGCGCTTTCATGTCTATATCTTATTTGATAATTTTGTATTTATTTTATCTTATGGATAAGTATGGCAGAAATGAAAACTCTATGATCCGCCACGGCGCCACCCGATTTATAAATATCTTCTTCTTTTTTTAATCATTATATCTTGTTTTTCCTTTGTGTGAGTGGGAAATTCTACTCCTTATAATTCTTTTATAATTAAGAGATGAACACCAATGAAAGAAGAAATAATATGGAATAAAATGAGTAACGTGATGGAGAAAAATAAAGAGGGAAAACAAATTATAAAAATGTGATACAAAATAGTTTAATTTATACACTCTGAATCTGAAAAATATAATACTCGTAAGTGGTAACTAATCAAAAGCTATAAGTATGTATTTTAAAACAATTATTGTTAAAGTTGTTAACTTTATTATAGATAATAATTTGTAATTGGATTATGATATAAAAAGAAAAAAATTATACTTGCATTACATTCATTATTTTCTATATAAAATATGGATGGGAATAATATATAATTTTTTCCTCAAATAATACTATTTTAAAAAAAATTTACCCAAATAATAATTGTGCAAATTTATTTTTTTAACTAGCAACATTTACTGTTCACGTTCAGAACGGGCCGTTCCAGATTAAAAAATAACACATGACGAATGGATCAGAACGGACCGTTCCAAATTCAAAATTAGCACATAAAAAGTGAAACCAGAACGGATCGTTCTGAATCTGGAACGAGCTATTCTGGCCTACAAATAAAAAATTTTTTGTTCGATTTTCACTTATCAAATACCAAAACTCAGAAACTAACATCAAATAATTAAATTTATTGAATATTAACATTATAAATATAACTAAATAAATTATTAAAATTTAATACAACAATAAAGATCAATGGTGATGGAAACTGATTATGTTGTTTTCTAATATCCATCTCTGTTTTAATCCTATTGGACTTTGCTGCAATCACACCACATTACATTCAGCCTTATTGTAAATCTCCCAACGGGTCATGCGAGCAAGAGATATGAACTTTGGCCGACCCGTTGGGAGATTTACAATAAGGCTGAATGTAATGTGGTGTGATTGTGGCAAAGTCCAGCAGGATTAAAACAGAGATGGACATTAGAGAACAATATAATTAGTTTCCGCTACCACCGATCTTTATTGTTGTATTGAATTTTAATAAATTTATTTAGTTATATTTATAATGTTAATATTCAATAAATTTAATTATTTGATGCTAGTTTCTGAGTTTTGGTATTTGATAAATGAAAATCAAAGCAAAATTTTTTTATTTATAGGCCAGAATGGCCCGTTCTGGATTCAGATGGCCTATTCTGTTCCACATTTTATTTGCTAATTTTGAATTCAAAACGGTCCGTTCTGACCTATTCGTCGTGTGTTATTTTTTAATCTGGAATGGTCTGTTTTGAAATCAGAACGGCCCATTCTGAACGTGAACAGTAAATGGTGCTAGTTGGGGAAATAAATTTGTACAGTTGTTATTTGGGTAAAAAAAATTTAAAATAGTATTATTTGACTAAAAAACTCAATAATATAACTATTTTCTCTGCACCTAAATTGTTTATATGGTCCCGTAAGATTTGGAATGAAGTTTGAAACTCAAAAATAAGGATTTTTTAAACTTTATTTCATCTTAAAAAAAAAAAGTCGAATACTCGATAGTAAGCAATTTACTTCGTCTCATAAAATTAATCATAAGATGTTTAAAATAAATAAATCATAAAATTAATCATAAGATGTTTAAAATTAATAATTGGTGATATAAATAGTGTAGAGAAAGAAAAAGAAACTGTCTTAAGGGTTAAATGATTGATTCATATTGTTGTCTATCATTGTAAAAAAACTGTTGGATCAAAAATAGATTAAGAAGATACTTGGTACATGAAAAACTTTTGTTTTCTCAAGAATTTAATTTAATTTTTCACCATTTGATTTACTGTTTAAAAAATAATATTCTTAAGAAATATTATTTTCATGATGGAGATAAAAAAATTTAACTTTTTCGAGTTAAAAATAAAGTTTTATGCAATAAAAATGACATATTATCTTTATTATTCTCAGATAATATTTTATGAACATTACTAAAATTATTTATAATCAACCAAACAAATTTTCATAATTTCTAAAATTTATAATTCTTATAAATCATAATTCTTATGTAAGAAAAAAATTGTCTTTTAAGAAATATCCCCTAAATGCAACACCTTTATTATCTCAAACAAATAATTACTAAAATTAGGAAAAGAATATTGTAATTTATTGTAAAATATAATTACTAAAATTAGAACAAAGAATATTGTTGTTTGCTTACCGAACTTGCATTCACTACTTGTTTTTCTTCACATCATACCAGTTTTTATTTCTGTTATTTCTCAAGCCTGATTACCAACATACAATATAAGCTCAATTTAAAAACACGTTTTACAAATAAAGCAACACTAGACTGAAGGAATAGAAGTCAATAATTCATGTGTGCAAAATGCATTATGGAGAACCCCCTTTTTGTTTTCTTTCCCTTTTGGAAAAAGGTGGCAAGGATCTTATCAGTTGTATCAAAGATATTTACAGTTCATTGAGCAACAATTTCAAAATTGTTGGGAGCTCTGAGGTATAATTTGCAACAAAGAATGCATCCATTTACACTTGATAAATAAAAAAGAAACCAAAAAACCTCTAGGATATGGTACTAAATCAAAATGTGGTTCATAACAACATTGCCTATTAATCTATGATGACGCTTTGAACCTAATCTCTTGTCTCTCCCACGCCTTGGATGATTCTTTATCTGAGGCCTATTGGTATGAGAAGCAGGTGGGCCAGGACGCCGGGTTACAACAACTGGAGGAGGCATGTGCTCCAATATGTCTCTATGATAAGCCTGATATTATTTATGAACAAACACCAAAATAAAAACCCAAACAATTGAAGAGGAAGTAAAATGCATATGCTAAAAGAGGTTTAGTTAGTTTTCACAAGAAATAAAAGTACAAACATATGGAATTGCATGTTGGAAAAATGAGTGGTCGAATAAAAAAATCCCCCAGACATCATCTAGATATCTGTTGCCTGTTTATAAGTACAAGCATTTGGAAGTGTGCATGTTGAATTCAAAAACTAGTAGTTTTTTTAACAACTAAACACAAAAAACATGGAAAGACGCAAATACTAACCTGTATCACAAAGTTTCGTCTTTCGCAATCCATAAACATGTTAATACTCCAATTAACTTTTGCCATGATTTTGTCTCTAACTGTGGAAAAGCTTAACTGATCTCTGGAAGTAAAGCGATCAACTTCATTGAACCATAAGCAAGTAAAGAGATTTGTAATTGGAATGTGTTCTCTTATGATAACACAACCTTCAGGAACATCTGCAGAAACTCGGCCATAAGCAATACTTAAGATTTTAAAGATGGAGGCAGCATGATATGCAACCACAGGCACACATCAAACATAATCCATTTTACATATGAAGGCATGAATGTATCAAAATTGTTCCTACCACTAGTTATAGGAAGCTTTTCCCTGGAATAATGAGTTAAACCATCGTGGTATTGATAAAATTGAATTTGGTGATCAATAGAAGCGTTTTCATATTTCCCAGCAGCTTTATTAGCCTCAGCCTCAACAAATACATCAAAGCGTCTGTAGTGTCTTGAAATTGCAAAAGTAGCATTCGGACGCCACAAGAACCTGGATGATATGAAAGGCAGTGACTACGAAGATATTAGAAATATACAATTACAAACTAATGTTTACAGATATCCTCTTCATATATTGTGTTGTAAAATAAAGTCAAAGTAACAAAAAGTACACAAATTAAGATTGTTCAAAACAATGGAAACCCTAGCCCATGAAATAAAAAATTCAAAAACATGCATGTTTTGTCAAGCAAGCAAGACGTGTCAAATAATCATATATAAACAACCACGATAGTGAAGATCTGTTGCAAGGACAGAGCATTAAATGCTTTTTGGATGACCAAGATATTAAACACTTTCACTTTTCATTAATACTATCTGTTTTAATTCCTTAACCATTGTCCTAAGGATAGTCGCTAATGATGCTCAAGTTATTATTGTGACATTACAAAAATCTTAAAGTTTACATAACCAGCAGTGGACTTTAGTACACCAAAAATAAAGGGAATAACTGTTATTTGCCCATCACAACTTAAGTATAGATAGAGACCTGAATCCGTATCGTGTAATAAGAAGATTCAATTTAGGAAGTTGGATATGTGGATTGATAGCAGTTGTAAGATTTAACAAAAGTATTCAATTCTTCTAAGAAAATTACCATGGAAAGGGAACTATTTGAAATTCCCTTAACCATATTTTAGATGAAATCTTGTTATCTTCCTACTTCACCATATCAAATTGTAAACGATATGCATGAGTAATATTGCAGTTTGAAAATAGTGAATAAAATTAACAATCATTTAAGTCTGCACTGAAATCATTTAGCCAATAATAAAAGTACATCCTTTAAATATCTGGTTGATTTCAATATCCAAAACTTGACAGATAAAAGTCGATAAACAACTAAATGAACAAACAAAATCACATAAATCCATCAGAACATAACTTGGAATCAAGCAATATCATTGTTTATTCTCAAAACTAAATGATGGTAAATAGAAACTGGATGATAAACAATGGTAAATAGAAACTGGATGATAAACAATGGTAAATAGAAATTTATACCACTCCGTATACAAAAGAAATAAAAAACAAGACAATTTTTAATAAAAAAAAGTGATGGCTTTTACCTTTCAAGAATTTGGTATGGGTCCATAACGAGCTCAAGCTTCCCATCAATCCATATCGAATATCGGACATTGGGGAAGATCCTGTGCAATAGAAGCTTTGGAATCTGCATAAGTTTAGAGGCATAGTGAGATCATATAAAGTAAGTTCCACACATTAAACTGTAGGTGCACTAATATCAGAAAAGGGAGCCATGAAACAAAAGATCTTATTCAACTTCGAGAAAATATAAATCTGATTATTCATTTACTTAAAAAGCAAATTGTTAATACTCCAAAAAAACAATAATTCAGAATTCTTCCTCGCAAGAATTTTACAGCCAATTCATTTCCCTTTCCTTTTCAGCTTTCCTAATAAGTTTCTATTAGGATTTAAGATTTTATAACATTAACTAATTCAGCACAATTCATTTCCCATACATAAATCAAATACTACATAATATTTAAATATAAAAACTCAATTCCTTAAGCTTAGGGCATGGAAACCTCAGCTCTTCGCCTGTTTAAAGAAGAGCAGTATAATTTACTACTTTCTGTACAGAAGGCAAATAGCCCTTGAACAAAAACCCTTATTTTCATAGTACATACACACAGAGGCAAGCAGCACCAAAAACCAAACTCAACAATTAGTTTGTACTTTGATATAGGATGGTCATAAGCTCAAGTTCTCAACTACAATTCCATACACTCTGATTAATGTGTAATTTAAACTGTATCAACTAGTAAAATAATTTCTCAAAACACACATGGTGGAATGTGGAAAAAAATGGAAACAAAGAGATGTGCCAAGGATAAGTTAGAAAAACAGAATCTTCAATTAAAAAAGGGAGGCTGCATTTAGAAATTACATAGTATGTGCTGAAAATAGTACAACTTTCAAGAAATCTGAATGACAGATTTTACAATAATAACTAGTGAGAAGCAAAAAGTAAGCAATCAACCTTTCCATTACGCCGAGAATCAGCATAAGGGATGTTATGAACAACAATGATTCTCCATAATCCAACTCTCCTGCTGCTACTCAAAATACTGACATTCTTCATATACATTTCTGTTTCTTCATCAATGAACATATAGAACGGAATGTTTTTCCTTGCTTTTGAACTGATGTTCCTGGGCTGCTGTATAACATCATAGTTTCCTGGCATAAATGGAAGGGAGCTATAAGAAACAGAAAACAAATAGCCAAAGGTAGATATATGTATAATTCATCAGTCATAAGCCATACCAAATATGGCAGATGCAACAATGACATCATGGTACTGATCCAACTCTAAAAGATCTGCCTCATCAAAATCAAATCCTGTCTGGCGACCAGGTCTGCTTCCTCTGACAAATCTGATACGAGTTTATGCCAATGCAGGAAAGGGAATAAGAATACATTCAGTAAAGAAACACTAATTCTTGTGGGAGCATGGGACACAAATGTGAACGAGTTCTAACAATTCTTTCAGGAAAATTAATCTCCAAAAGTGTTCAAGACAAGGAAAGAAACAAGAAAGAGTACTTTAAGGCCTTACATGGATGCAATAATGCTGAAAATTGGGCAAGGTATTGGATGCTAGAAAGGAGACATGGAAAGTTGTGAGTAAGGCACAATCCAAAGCTTTTGAAGAGTTTTACAAAAATATCAAGACAAAGAATAGAGAATGTAAGATATATATGCTTGTCAAAAATTAGAGAAAGGAACACGAGAGATGTGGATCAAGAAGTATTATGGATGAAGGGAATGTTTTGATCACAAATTAAAATATCAGAGATGGGAGAATTATTTTTCCAAGCTTTTCAATAATGGACAAGGACGACTTCTAATATGCAAAGAACAAAAATCCATGAGGAAGAATAAAATTTTGCTTGCTACCAAAGAATTCATATTGGAAAGGTCAAAAAAGCCCTTAATAAAATGCATAATGGTAAAGTTGTTGGTTTAAATGTTATTCCTATTGGAGTTTAGAAGTGTACAGAAGGTGTCATTTGGCTCACTAAGTTATTTAATGATATTTTGAGATTAAAGAAAATGCCCTGTGAATGGAGGATGAACACGTTGGTTTCTATAGAACAAGGGAGATATTCAAAATTGTGCAAGCTACATATATATAAAACTTATGGGCCACACTATGTATGAAATTATGGGAAAATGTTATCGAAAAAAGATTAAGGGAAAAGACAAGGATTGCAAAGAATCAATTTGATTTTATGTCAGGAAGGTCTACAACAAAAGCCATTAATCTTTTATGAGGGTTGATGGAAAGGAACCAAAGCCATGAAAGAGACAAACATGATTTTCATTGACTTTGAAAAAACATACGATTGAGTGACGAGTGCCAAGAGAAGTGTTGTGTAAGACTTTGGAATATATATATATATATATATACACACCAAACTATACAAGATATGTATGATGAGGTAACTACTAATGTGAGAACTCCAACAGACAAGGCTACATACTTTCCTATTGGGATAGGAATACATCAAGACTCAGTCTTAAGTCCTTACTTGTTTAATCAATGTTGGGCTTTTTAAAGGGAACACAAGAGAAAAAGGAATAAAAATGTTAAAATATATGTGTGGCCACACAAGAAAGGACAAAATACAAAATGACTGTATGCAAGGAGATATTGGAGTGACACCAATTAAGAATAATAATAACATAAAGTCAGTTAAGGTGATTTGCTCAGGTACAAAGAAGACCACTAGAAGCTGCTCAGGTACAAAGAAGACCACTAGAAGCACCAATGAAGGGAGTTGATTGCATGATTTTTTTTAGCCATTTGAAAAGGGCAAGGAGTTAGGAGACCAATAAGAACATTGGAGGATGTTGTTAAGAGGAATCTCATGGTGAATAATATCTCCAAGGATGTAGTCTTTAATCAATCCTAATGACATCATGTAATCTATGTAGTTGACTTCAACTAGTGAGATAAGGCTTTTGTTATTTGTAGTTGTATTTGAAAATTAATCTCCAAGTTGTGAGAAAATTAAATACACATAATGAAAATGAACTAACCCACAATGCACTCTCATGGTCTCTTTTATATCAAAAGCAGCATCCCTTTCATCCAGAGAAGGGTATCCACCAAAATCAGAACCACCGAGCAGATCACTTCTAGTTGGATTTTCATCATGTACATATGTCAAAGTGCGAAGAATGGGAGATTCTGATGGGGAACTTGGCATACTAGCTATAGCATCCTCCACTGGAATATAACACACAGGGCATGCTGCAAGGGAAGAGAGCAAGAACCTGATTAATAGAATTCTACAATGACAATAACTAAATATTCACTGTGTGTACATGTACATCGGATGCTATTCCCAGATTCAAGATAGATATAATGCTTGTGACTTAAGAATTGAAAACAAGGCCATAAAAAGACTTACGCCGTGGTCCAGGCCGTCTTCTATCAGCTGGTGGTGGAGGAGGAAATGCAAAATGGTCACATCGATGTCCCCAAATAGGAAAATATCCCTTGTTGCCTCTAGACTTGGACAAGGACAATGAATGAGGAGCAGGAGGAAGCCTAGCTGTATTTCTACGTCTATTTGTCAATGAGGTCATTCTAGAAGAATTACTACCCCGTGACTTATCTTCTACTACTCCACGAGGTCTTAAAATTCCATACCTAGTAATAGCATTAGATCGTGTATCTTCAATTTCACTAGTGATGTTTCCACCTACTTCATCACAATACCAAATGAACACCATAAAACACAAATTTTAAACTGCAGATAATCAAAGCTAATGAAGATACAAGCATGAGAACCAATGAAAAGTCCTAAACAAAAACATGATATTTCAAATGATGTCTTAACTGTTAACCAACACGACTTCAACATTAGAAAGAAAAACAAAAACAGGTGTTCAAACAAGACATGAACTAACAGTGCCAGAAAGACCAAAACTAAAACACACTATACTACGGCTTATTTATCTTAAGAACACAAATCTATAAGATGCACAGTGTCATTGATATGATAGCAAACCAAACTCTAAGGTACATTATATCTTAAAAGACATGCAGAAACAAAATAAAAACATATCGTAAAGTGCGTGTGTTTCATGATTTAAAAATTTAATCTTGAAAAATGAACTTAGGAATGTAATATTTCCATGTCTTTTATGAGCTTTACGAAAATTATTCCCAAGAATCTGTTTGTTTCAAGGTTTAAAGATTTATTCCCAGGAATATCAACTTGGAAACATAATATTCCCATGCTTGAAATGAATTTTAAAAAGTTATTTCCATGTATTGTTCATGTCCAAGACAGTAATAATACCTTGTGTTACTTCACTTTTATTCTCATGGTGAAAAGTGGAAAAGTTATATTGATGTGGGAATATTATGATTTATTTCCTAATCCAATCATAATTTCCATTTTTATTTTTTTTATAATCATTTTGACTTTTAAAAAATATTCCTATGAAAATTAAATAAATAAAGGTAGTTTTAAATGTTCCAAAAGTAATAAAATTCGTGTTATAATATTCCTGGCAATGTAATTTCGAGCAATATAATAATACTCCTTGAAACAAACTTCCCTAGTGTATTTTTCATGTTCAAGAAAGTAATAATGTGTTAATTTACTTAACTTTTATTTCCATTGAGAGATATGGAAAATTAGCATCTAATCCAATTATTAGTTACTGCTATCGAAAAAAAAAAAAAAAAACTGACATTTCTACTCTTACTTTTTAGTTTTTATTACAACCATTATGAATCATAAAGAATATTCCCATGGAGAGTTTTTTGGTATAGACTACAAGTATCTTCCACTGAAGTATCCTTCCTCCACTGAAGATAATCCTCTTCTGTTGCAGCGATAGGATCAACTATGGGCGCAAAGCTCTCCCTCAGAAAAGCAACATTATTATTATTATTATTATAATTATTATTATTATACCTTAAAAGAGATGTGACATTTGCCTACAACTCAACAGGGAGTATGAATCATAAACACTTGAAATGAGAGACATGAAGAGAAACAAACCTCTGTAAACAGTAAAGCAACCAAAAATGAAAAGACAAAGGGCGAGGCCAAGCATGAGGAGCATTGCGACCTTCCCTCGCCCAAGGAGCCTGCAAATAAAAGGGAAACCCCTCTCTTTCTCTCTGGGGTTGAAGAGGAGCGCCTTTGAAGGTCTACGCACGAGCAAGGGCGAAACGTTGCCGTTTTGCAGCTGCAGCGACCCATAGCTCCCTGTGCGCACACCCAATGACACTCCAGTCATTCTCCTCCCTTCAAAATCTCACCTTTCATACCACAATCTCCAATCCAAATCCCAATTCCCCCCCTCTTTTTACAATGTTGCAGATAAATTAACCAATTCAAGATAAAAACAACAACAACAACAACAACAACAAACAACAAAACCCGCCAACCTTAATCTCTTCAAATTCAAATCCACTCGTTCGAATTTCGCATCACGTTTCTACGACCATTCGAGACCCCGCGATTCGTCTCGCTAGCTGCATCCGAACCGAAACCCGCTATTCGTTTCGGGCGCGGCGGAGGCATCAAAACTGCGCCTTGATCGGAGAATGCGGGTGGGGAATGCGGGGAATTCTCGAAACGACAACCTCGTCGGTGTCGTCGACGTTGTCGCGGTGGCGCTTGGATTCGGAGATTGGAAGTGGAATTGTCTGTGATTGGAGAGATTTGAAGATTGGTTGAGGCGAAGCGTGGATGGATGCAGGGCAGAGACAATAGCCACTTTTTACATGAAAGGAGATGCACAAAGACTTTGAATGGGCCCTGTGGCCCAAATCACTGACTTCACAAACTAAACTCCAAACATGGCTTTTGAATCTCGGGAATGGCCCATTCATCACAACTGCAACTGTCAGGGTAAATTGTGATAATATTCACGTTATCCATTTCTATATTTATTTAAAAATTATTAATATTTATTAAATTAATTATTGTTATATCTAATCTCTGAATTTCAAGATCTTAAATTTGAGTTGTAGAATTATAAAATTATAAGAGTAATTAATTTTTAATATTATTTTTTATTATTTAAAAATTTAAAGATAAAGCAGTTCAAAAATTATATACTTTTATATATAAGTATAGATACATAAAAATTATGTTCAAGACAAATATAACTATTATATATAACAAAATTTATCAATTGAATATTTAACATATTTGTATACTTTAAGATCAAACTCATAACTACTAGTTAAGTTATAACAATTTAACGTCTATTAATTTACACACTTAGTTAATGGTGGATGATTTCAAATCTCAATGTGTATTTCAAATTTGATATATTATGATTTTTAACTTATTAATTAATAAGTTGTTGATCCAAATAAAATTTAGCTTACATTTTTTTTTAAGTAAAGTCTCAAATATAAGTCTTGTTCATAAAAATTTTAAAAAAAAATATTGTTAGAGGAAAGACTCTACTAAAAGTCTTGTTGGTAGATAAAAAAAAAAACACACAATAAAGAGTTAATATCCTATTAATAGTAAAAAGTAGAAAGTTAGGTTCTTCTAAAAATAAAAATAATCATAGTAAAGTTAGTTGATTAAGATGGTGAACCACAAAAATTTGCAACCAATTTAAGTTAGTCTAGAAGTAGGAGCCAAATATTATTTAGTTTAATAAGATTTTACATTTAAACATAATTGCTACATTTGTATAAAAAAAAAAAAAAATATATATATATATATACATATATAACGTAAGCTGTCTAATTTTTAGACAATGGTTCTAAATTATTAACCACGTGAATGTGTAAAAATGTTAATGGAAAGAAATCCAAATTCATAAGTCATAACCTATTTTGACAATTTCAAAAAAGAAAAAAGATGGAGAGAGAAAGATTGATACTAATTAAAATCAAGAGTATAATTTCCAGAATAATTTATAGTCTTTAAGTGAATCGTACTTAAAAGAATAAATTATAATTTTTCTTTGAATCTTAGACATGTTAGCATGTTACTTTGAAAATATTTTGTGCATGTGTTGGGCGAGTTTATACTAATAAATTGATTTAATAACAACAATAATAATAATTTATGAATTGATTTACATTGGGTGTAAATTGGTTAAAGAATATTGGTTAGTTGAAAAGTATGAGAAGAACGTAAAGTGCGCATTTGAGTATGCATAAATTTTTAGTAAACCATATTTGAATTTGGATTCATTATAAAATTAAGAAGGGTGTAAACTTTTCTTACGTACGATTGAAAAAGGTGCATTCAACTTTACCAAATGTGAATGTAAAGTTAAGTGCTACCAACCACAGTAGTCACTGCTCACTAGTTAAAGCCTTTGTCGCTTTTCAAAGGTAATCCAAATTAATCACCATTTTAAATACTCTCATATTAAATAAATAATTCTTAGAATCATATCATTGATGTGAAATATTTGCTAACTTTGTTGTTAAAAAATATAATTAATCACTTTAAGTGAATCTCTTCTTATAATCATGTTTTTTTCTATTTACAAAATTTAAACATGTATATTATTTAAAGGAATTAAGTCTAATATCACTTTAGTTTTGTTATTGATTGAGTTTGAGTGCGTGCACGCATGGATATTTATATAAAACTACACAGAAACTTGTGATATATAACACGCTAAAGTTATTGCAAGAAGTATTCAATGCAAAAAAAAATTACTAGGAAGAAAAAGTTGAGACAACTTTGTATCCCGACCAAGAAAGATAACTTTTTGAGGTACATGATAAAAATTTAAGAGTTTGTGGAAATGGGTGATTTGGGCATGAGTAGTGGTAAAAAGGGTTAGTGAAAGTGCTAATCATAAGTTTAGTTGAAAACATGGTTACCCAATTCTAATGGTTATCCACTCTTTGCCGTCATTCCCAACTATAATAAATGCCAAATCATGATCATAATTTTCAGGTGGAAGAATCTCTTTGCCAAACTATTGGTCTTTGAAGCTAATGATGATCTTTTAAGACCACCTAATTGAATTTCCTTTTTATAATTGCAATTCCCTTTTGTAATTGCAAAAGGGTTATTTCAATTCTAAGTACTGCCCACTTTATTGGTGCAACTATAAATGCTTTGGAACAATTAGAGTGGTTGCAAATTGATGTGGAAAGCATGGTGTTTTGATAATTTTATTGGTTGCGTTTAAATAAAAGATTTGTTTAGTAATGTGTTTGGACTCCCAATAACAACTAACACTTTCATATAAATAATAAAAAAACAATTGTTGATAAGATAATAAAAGGGCTTAAAAGATTATATCATTAACTTCACTTTAACAAGTAAATATATTTTACATAAAACAAGTGAAATATTTGTTTTAATCTTTAAATTTTTCTATCGCTAAAATTTAAAATTATTTTTTATTTATGAAATGAGAAAATTTTTGTTTGATTTTATAAAAAAACAGTTTTCATATTTTAAAATTTGAAATTATTATTTTTAATTTTTTAACATTTATGTTAAAATAGATAAATTATATTTATTTAAATAAAATAAAAGGAAGATATTAATATGACATTGCATGTCCCAAAATTCAATGTCGTTCAATAAAATCAAATTTTGACTTAAAAAAAATGGGGGAAAGGGAGGTACAAATAAAAATTGAGTACAAAACTTTCCTTAAAACTACATTTACTTTGCATCATGATGGAAAAAAGAAACAAAAACAGAAAATGATAAAGACAATGAGATAGATAGCATGGCAAGGCAAGGAGGAAAAGGTGATGAACACAAGTAAGGCAGGTTTGTCTTGTGGTTGTGAGTATTTGACTTTGTGTAGGCATTATTAAAACAAAATTGGGATAGTCCACTAGGTAATGTACAAACCATGAAGTTTACTATGATTGTTCAAAGCTCCATCTTATGTTAGAGACACAAAGTGGACCCAATAGTAGCCGTGCCCATGACTTGGAAAAGGACCCCACCCTACTCGTTACATGTCTCAATGGCACAAGGCAGAGACATAAATTTGAGGCATGAATGATTATTTGGAAAAACTGTTCATTATTAAATGGGCAGAGACAGCTATTGTGAGGTGGGGCATGGCATGGCATGGGAAAGAGAAGATGATCACATTCACATTCATCACCATGTATGTCCATCTCCTTTTCTTGGAAGGATTGGTTTGGCTCACATCTTTGTGTCCTTATTGGGTTCTCACCATTGGGACTTCTCATTGTTTAGTCACTTCTTGGTGATTTTGTTGTCTAGTCACTCCTATATTCCTATCCATTGAACATCCAGTTTATTCAATTTTCAGATCCGGGGATTCGGCAAATATCAAATCCCATGTTATTGATCATTTGAGTAATTACAATATATTGGTTCTATGAGTTTATTATATTGTAAATTTGAATTCTTATTTTAAATAAATACATGTAAATTACCAAAAAAGTTAATCAAACTCCAAGCGTGTGGTTCAGCGGTAGGGGTTGATCCACACTTAAGTAAGGTCAGGGGTTCGAATCAGCGAAGAGATTAGTCACTGCTGTTAGCGGTGGATACTCTAGGGACGAACCAAAAAAAAAAAAACAAGTTAATCAACTATTTCAAGTTATAGTAGTTTCACATTTAAATTTTATATATAATCACATTAAATATTTATAAGAAAGAGTTTTATTCTTTAAAATATAATGAGCATAATTTAAGATTTTTAAATAAAAATATTATTAGGACTTTGTTTATGTTTTATATTATTTTAATTTATCTTGTTTATCTTTATTTTAATTTTAAAAATAATAGTTAAAAATAATTTTTTAATGCAACATTAACTACCTACTTTTCCATTTATATCCTTAAAAAAATGTGTAGAATATAAATTTTGTTTTGCGTCATTTTTAATAAAAAAATAATCATAAAAATAATTTTATAAAATTATTATTCTCTTTCATTTATTTATTAATTATATATATATATATACAAAAAGAAATTAAAAACAGATAGTTATTATAAGTTAATGGGAATATTTAATTATAAATTGTTACACATAACAGATTGCTAACTTCTTTAAAAGTAAGGCATTTCTTAATTAATTCACCCTACAATTTAATTCCGTTTCTTGTTGGTAGGATAACGGAATTGAATTGTCTTGTATTTTGTAAATTCAAGCAAGAATTGGTGATGTGTAAGGTGTTGGAAGTGATTTTCTGATGACATGTTGAATTATACAAAAAGGAATTAATTATGGCAAATTTCATCATTTCATGTCTTTCTAAGCCTTTTGGACAAAAGAAAGGGTACATGTGAGGGGCTATTCTTAGCTTACGGGTCGCCCAGTTATCTAGGGTAAAGGGTACTCGATCGGAAACAAAAATCAGTTATGAGGGGACACATCACCTCCTAAGTATTTTTATATTTACGAGAAAGATCGAGACACTTCGTGTTAGGGATGATAATAGGACCGGTCAAATATGAGTTTTATGATATCCGTTTCCGTCTCTACAACTCAAATTCATCTCTTATCTGTACTCGTACTTATCAGGTATATTATTTTCGTCCACATTCTCGTCCCCGTCAGGTATCAAGTGTACCCGTATTCCTATCCATAATTTTTTTTTTGTAAAAAATATACAATATTTCTAAATTATTTTTATATTAAATTACAATTATAGTTAGTCTGTTTCTCTATCTCATATTTTAATCAAGAGACTTCTTAATAATTAAACAACTATAAATATTTCACATTATAATAAATAATTACACATGATAAAATATTAAAATTCTTTAACACAATTAAATCGGGGTGGGTATAAAACCGGGAACTGGA